TCTTGGCTCATCAGATCACTGTATTGTTTCTTGTTCTATTAGGTTTTCAGACCCCGAGCCACCACCCGCCTTGAGACACATTCTGGCGTACTACTCAACCAACTGGGACAGTTGCCGTGATTTCCTAACTGCTTATCCCTGGAACGATTGCTGCTTCCCTTGGGATGTTTCCAAATCCGTTACCAACTTCACCCATGTTCTTCAAGCTGTACATCTTTTTATTCCGCACTTCTTCAAACCCGGCGAACCCAAATCCCCCGAGTGGTTTAACCATGCACGTGACCGTATTGTACGCCTTAAACGTTCAGCTTTCCACCGCTGGCGTCGCTTGCCCACCCCCCCTCTCCCAGCATCGCTTTGTGCAAGCTAGGACTAGATGCTCGACGACCATTCAGAAAACTAAAGAACCCTTCGTTCGCCGTAAAGCCGAAAACTGGGTCTCGTCCGCCACCAGTATCTGAACATCTTGGTCCTTTGCCAAGTCACTTTCCCGTAGTTTCTGTCCTTCCAACTTTTGCCATATCTGAATTCCTCTGGTGGTCTCGTATATCAACCAAAAGTGAAAGCTGAGGTTTTTGCTTTCCACTTTACCCCATTTTTCTACACCGCCTTCTTCTCTGGCAACCCTTTTATACCTCATATCAGCACTTGGAAAATCTGTCAAACATTGCGCTCTCTAAACGCAAGCAAACCACCCGGTCCGGACGGTATTCCACACATCGTCCTCAAAATGTGCGCTCGCGAGTTGGCTCCTGTTTTACGTCGTCTTTTCAGTCTTTCCCTCCAAATTTCTTCCTTTCCAAACCCCTGGAAACACGCCGTGATTTTTCCCATTCCCAAACGCGGCGACCTTTCTAACCCCTACAATTACCGACCTATTTCCCTCACATATGTTCTTTCGAAAGTATTTGAAACTATCATTTCTGACCAGCTACGCACGTTCCTTGAACGCGAAGGACTACTGAGCGACCGCCATTATAGCTTTCGACATCGTCGTGACCTTCTGGCTCTGTCACAATCCCGGTCAACTCCACTCGATAACCGCGGGGAAACAAAGTTGGTCTCGTTTGACATCTCAAAGGCCTTCGATCGAGTTTGACACGAAGGTCTACTGGCGAAACTATTAATGTTCCCTCCAGCTCTCGTAGCGTGGATATCAAGTTTCCTCAGTAAGCGAACCATCTCCGTCCCAGTTGATGGGGTTCTATCTCAGCCATTCCCTGTGAACGCTGGTGCTCTCCAAGTTTCATTACTTACGCCCAACCTCTTCCATCTATTTATCAATGATCTCCTTTCCCAAACTGCCAACCCGATCCGTTCTTTTGCTGATGACGCCACCGTCCACTGCTCCCTCTCCTATCGCACCGCTCGCCATGCCCAAACCAACATCGATGGTGACCGTAGTGCAGTTAATGTGTCACTGGACTCCGATCTCGAACACATCTCCTCCTGGGGCTTTGCAAACCACGTTTCGTTCAATAGTTCCAAAAACTCTTTTTTCAATTTCTTTAAAACACCATTCGTTCTCTCCCCATTTATCCTTTGATTCCACCCGACTGTGTTCCATAGACTCCGTTTCCCTTCTTGAATTGCCTATAACTTCCTCTTTATACTAATCCCCTTTTATAACTAAGCTTGCTTCTTGTGCTCCGCATAAGGTTGGATTTATATTTCGCGCCAGAC